AGGTGGACCCGTTTTTTCGAAACTTTTCCGGTTGGACCGAACCGATCCATTGAGTTTTGGACCGAAATTTCCGGAAATTTTGGTTGAATGGATCGCGCCCGATATTAGCCGTAAAGAAACCTTGATTTTGATCTTAAGCTGGGGCCGCAGCTTCGGCTCCTTCTTCCGACATGTTTAACTCGTGGTTTTGCAGGGTTTTAGCTCGAAGATCTCAGGCAGTATGTTTGAGCGATCGACGAGATTCCACACTCACAGACAAAAAAGATCACAAAAAGTCAGATCGATAGCAGATCGATAGCAGCAGAATAATCAGCGTTTGTTCACACTCCTGGTACCATGTTTCCGTGAGAGCTCTAACAGTAACAAGACGGTAACTCAACTCAACGCCATGACAGAACGTCGCTCTCTCAAGCCCCTTCCCATGATGCCTAGCATTAGGGTTACCACCCTCTAACATAACAACAACGGTGAAAGTTTCTCTATGCTCAAAAAGTCCTTGGTTAGAGCAATCCTAGAATACGCATGCCCGGTATTATGGTCGCCCTATTCAGTGAAGATAAGTTGGCAATCGAAAAAGAACAACAATGAGCATTGAGAATCGCTCTCGGTCAAAAACTACGCGAGATGTTATATGAAGAACGATGTATATTGCTAAACTGGAACTGACACTTCAGCATCGAAGAGAATACCTATCTGTAATGGAATTTTACAAGACAGTGTTTGGTCTAAATAGTCTATAGACTTTAATGACTATTTCGAGTTTTGTAGAACTAAAAACACTAGAGCCAACCACCCATAACAAATACGAACTAAAATAGCTTAAAATAACTAATTTAAGTACTCCTTCTTTGTGAGAATCGTCAAAGACTGGAACAGTTTGCCAAACCATCTTTTTACCGACGAAATTAACGTTAACAAATTTAAAAAAGGCTTAAAAGATTGATGAAGATTTATTGACACAGTAGGTCATATTTTAATTGTATATATTTCATTTTTAATATAATTCTTACTATACCATTTTGTACCTGCACTAAATATTTTTACGCGCGTTTTTTATAATTTTTTATTTTTTTTAAAGTTCAGTTAGGGGACCTTTTATGGGGATAACCTCGCGGTCCACGTTTTGAAATAGGCCGATTTAGCAACAGGACGGGAACGTCAGTTGACGACGGGAAAGCGCGGGAAAAGGACTAAACACGACTTCCGGTGCCCAATTTGCCGCTCTGCCATTGGACAAGCCAGCTGTTTAATTTGCGCGCGCCGACGTCAACTGACGTTCCCGTTCCGTTGCTAAATCAGCCTATTATGTATCATGTATCATGTTTATGTGCATATATGTATTTGAATAAAGTTTTCTTAATCTTGACTTTTAGGGGAGGGGTACCGTAGGTGTTCAGTTACCTATAAACCTCAATTGATTCCGACTAATCTATCACCATAGAAACGATAGTTCAAAATCTAAGAAAAGTTCCGTGCATTGAAAGGCACCAGGACCTGTGGGTTTGATTAACACGAAAGGTTGAATGGCCATCCGGTGAATATTCGTGAAAATGACGGCAAAAACGTTTGTGGGACTTCAGTGTTTGAACCATACATCAAATTGGGGCTGGGCCAGAGACAAAAGCGACAGGAGCAGTTACAAATATAGATGTGGCAACCCAGAGGGTTGAAAGAGAGAGAGGAACGGAGAAGGATGAAAAGTATCAAAAGAAAAGTTCGAAAAGTGTTCGTGGTACGGGCAAAGGTGATTCCCGTGGTAGGGAATGGGGGAAAGCATTAAAATAGAATAAAAGCCTACGAATTTCTTAAACAACCTGAGGGGTTTTCTTCTGTGGAAATGATCCCGGAATAATGATAATGATAATGATGATGACGATGATGATGATGATGATGATGCCAACGATGAAGATGATGATGATAATGATAATACTGATGTTGATCCTGCTGCCGATGCTGTTGCTGCTCCTAATAATGATGATGATAACAATGATAATGATAATGACGACAATAGGGGTATTGTCTAAGGATATTATAAAGCAAACTTCGCTAGCGGTAAGATAAGGAGAATCCTGTGTTCTGTTTGGCTATCTGAGTGGGCGAGATGAGACAATATCTTGCTCGCTTAGGATCACCCACCTCAGGCTTATCCTGTGAGATAAGTATTTTTCGGCCATATAATATATTCTTTATTGACGAAGTTTGTTTGGTGACATTAGCTGAATATCAACCTGAAGTAGAGCCTACTCTGTCTTCTTTAAAGAGGACAAGAAAAGGGGGGTCTATCACCACCAGCCAAGACGGGCGTAGGCTGTCTGAACAAGATACCTTCAGTTGATAAAGATAATCTTGGTGTACCGCCATTGGTATGCTGGACTGTCGCAAGTCGTCTGGCGTAGATGACGAAGAGGGGGACGCGACCTGCAGGGGACGGTGAGGGAATGGCGTAGGTCTAGGGGCAGCTGTTCTAATGTTTGATTAAAATCTAGTAGAGACAAGAGACAAGTCCTACGTAGTCTGCTACACAGCCGTTTTTAGTGTCGTCACGCAACGCTCCTGCCCACAAACGGCTGCTGAGAATCGAACCACATTCCCTTCTTTTAGTGTTTGTGGTCTAACGAACAAACCAGTCATGTATAAGAAACTTGACAATACGTGAGCCGTAGCCTGCGCCAGGAAGCGAACAAGCTTCTTAGTTTTTGACAAATCAATCAATCGTCGCTGAATTTGGACGGGATCTGTGTCTGCAAGCAACAAAAAGGTTGATTTGCAGAAAAGTTTGTTTTAAGCGATTAACAAAGTTCCAAGTGAAAAAAGGTTTGATAGGCCTACAAGACTCTTATTAGGATCGGTTGGTTCTTTTTAACGTGCATATGTATGATGAATTTCATGTGCCGGATGTGCTCATTGTGTTGCTGTACATGTGAAGACTAAACTCTCAAGGGTACTGATTCAAACAAAAGCAATCTTACAAATTATCGATGAGCGATTTCCCGAAACTTAATTCCCGGCAACTTTATAAGCACAATTAATGCACATCCATGTTGTGCATCACACTAGCTTGACTTGCTCGATACTGCTGCTTATCTCATATAGTTTGTTTAGGACTCGACTACCACAACAAAACAATACTCTTAGTTGATTGCAGTTTATTGCTTTTTTCACGCGACGATTTCGATTGTTCTGTAATTCACATATGGACACAGATAAAAGCAAAGCTGGGATCGGAGGAGTCACAGTACCGCAAACGTGGCGCGAACACCTTCCAGAAAATGGGAGCTGAATTCTAATTGGCTAACCGCGGGAAAAGAATGTGGTTCGATTCTCAGCAGCCGTTTGTGAGGGAGTGAGTGTTTGCGTAACGACCCTAAAACAGCTGTGCAGCAAGATGTCTTGATAAAGATAATCTTCGTCTATCGCCACTGGTATGCTGGACTGTAGCCAGTCATCTGGCGTAGATGACGAAGAGGGGGACGCGACCGGCAAGGGAGGGTGGGGAATGGCGGATGTCTAGGGGCAGGCTGTTCTAATGTTTGATTAAAATCTATAGTAGAGACAAGTCCTACGCTGTCTCCGTTTTGATTGTTGCTCGCTATGGTCGTGGTATGTGGAGAAATTCAAACCAATGCAGAAATTGGAGAACTGTTCAGTAAACTAAAAAACTGCAAGTTTGTAAGGGTAGACAAACCATTCAGCCAACAACAAAGGAGAGAAAATTAAGTATCATGTTTGTTTTAATAATTAATACATGACAGGTTAAAGCATTTTCTATTTCAACTTATTTGACGTCACTAGTCTCTAACTATATTGGCTTCAAATAAGAACCAGATCCAATTCAACGAGTGTTAAGCAACCTCATCTAGGCCTAAACCTCCTTTCAGTTCTCCAGTGCTGCTTCTTCACCGAAAATCACGGAGAAGGAGCTTCTGTAAAATTTAAAGGAGAAGAAGTGCATAAGATTAAATTAAACTTTTACATAGAAAACAATTTTTTTCTCATTTTTTATGAGGCTAGCCAGTACGGCGTTCCAAGCTAGCCTTTTATTTCGCTCTGCTTTGCCTGCTCCCAATACTTTCCGTCCTTCTTTTGGTTTTGCTAATGTTGAGCCTTAATATTTGGAAGAACAAGAATTCTATAAGACCAGAAACTGCTCAAAAAAAATCCGAGCTTCAGATGAGAATCGAACACACGTCCCTCGAACGAGCTC